CTCTAGAGAGTTGAGGGAGCAGGGCGTGCCGGTCACCGCGCGGGTGAGGAGACTCCTTAGGCAGCAGGCCAAGGAGGCGACCAGGGAGGAATGGCGGGTGTGGCTCACGGAGCCGAATATCTTCGGGAGGCGCACAATAGATGCCATCCTCCCTGGTCTAGACGCCTGGCTAGAGCGTCCTTGGGCGCGAACGTCCTTTAGGACGACGCAGGTACTCACCGGACACGGCTGTTTCGGTGGGTACCTGCACAGGATAGGTCGCGAAAGAGACGCGAGATGTCACCACTGTGGCGCCAATGAGGATTCGGCCCAGCACACTCTGGAGGTATGTCCGGAGTGGCAGGCTGAGCGCCGGGTCCTCACCAACGTAGTTGGGCAAGATTTGTCCCTGGGAGCCATAGTAAGGGCGATAACCAAGGACCAAGATAAGTGGAGTGCCTTCTCCTCCTTCTGTGAGCACGTGATGCTCCAGAAGGAGGAGGCAGAGCGGATCCGTAGGGGGGAAGTGGATCCCCCTGGGTCGCAAAATGACGGAGGAGCGGGAAGAAGAAGGAGAAGGAGAGGGATTCCCGCCCACCTCCGACCCATGTAATACGGGGAATAGGGGAAAGGGGGTGGAGGGGGGGTTCGTGGGACGTCCGGCCTCTCAGGCTAAGGCCTGGGAGGTCAGGTCGCCTGCTGCCTCCCCTCCTCCCACCCACCGAAGACGGACAAGGAGAAGGGAGTCTTCCGCAAGGCGTCCGGGACCCGTCAGATAGAATAGGCCCGGGGTAACTCCTGCCTGTCGTAAGAGGCGACTAAAAGGAGAAGATCTGGGATTGTAGAAGACTCCCGGGGGCGGAACATGGACTGGAGACCCACGGCCCGCCCGCCCCCAACAACAACGAGGGGGCGCAGCGAAGGGCCTGGTGGCACCCCCGCTGCAGAGTAGGAGAAAGGCCCTTATAAGGGCCAAAGCTCAGAAAGAGCGAAGAGGCGCGCGAACAGCCACGCGCGGCGCGGGGCCATCTGGCAGTCATGCGACGCAGTTCCCGGACGGCCCCAGAAAGCGCAGAGAAGTCCACCCCCGGTGGTTTTAGTGCGGTAGGCGTCTCCGTTGCACTACTGGCCTTGGGTCGTCAATTGCCCAAGTGCCAGGGAGACGAGTCCCACACACCACCCCCTCCCGTCCCAGCGGGAGCGGGGTGACGGCCCATGAGGGTTTCCACCGGGTAAACAAAAAAAAAAGGTGCTATTCTGATACGTATATATTATAAAGATAAATAACAATACAATAAAATGCTTCATATAGTTATTTTAATATCAACATATTTATCACAGATATCTGGCGACTGGCGACCAAGTACTTTCAGTAGCTCTTGCGTATAGAATAGGAGAGTCTACTGCTTATAAAATTATAAAAGAGACGTGTGAAGTTATTGCCAATATTTTACTTGGAGTATGTTCCGTCCGTGTCGATCCAGTCGATCCGACAACGGACCCCACTTGCACGAAATTATAATTAGGCCGGTTGATGAGGGGAAGAGGAAGAAGGCTCTAAGATTCACTGGTCACGTGTTCACGGTTCAACGCGCATTTATTTCGGTCTCGATTATAATGTCACGTTATCGAACAACGAGAGACGCAGGCTGAGACGATACGGTGTCGTAGGCATAGCACGACGTACTACTGGCCGAAAAGCTCGGCTCATTAGCCCGCCCGTGCCCCCCTCCCTCGCCCCGTGCTCCCAGGCTGCTCAATCCACCCGGCAACAGGGGCGATCGGGAAGACGACCGGGCACGTGCAGACCACGAACAACATTCATGTGGCCACACAGGGCAACTCGCGAACATATACCGCCCGCCTCGTCCTGTGGACGACATGATAGAGTACGACGAGGCAAAGCCGCCCGCCGTGAGGTACCGAAATTCTTCGGGTGGGCTAGTCCGCCCGGTCCGCGTCGCTGATCACCGGCAGTGGCACCAGCTTGCTCACGGGTCGCTTGAGAACGGAA